TCAACCCACAAAGTCATTGTTGGTGGAGTTCGTGTAGGTCGATTCAAATTACGTGACTGAACGCCAAGCAGTACTTTCCGTTAGTGGTCGGAGAGATTGGGGGAGGAGGCCCATAATCTGTCTCAGTGGTACAGATACATTTGCTCCTTCTCTAAGTAGAGAATCCAAATATTCCTTCAAACGTATCCTTTCATTCCGTCTTCTTACACCATATACTCATTGTCTTTTTCATTATTATTGCTGCTGCAGCATCCCTACTTTTTTCTATTACATCAAGTTGTGCTAGTATGATACGGCAATATGAGCTAACGGGCACTAACTCTAGTTTTTACGTTGATTATGACTGACTGAGCGAATAGGAACGCTGAAAATATCAGCTGGTAATAGCAATCAACTTAGCGTTTTGTTATAAGTTCAAACTGACTAATTGTTCTCCAAAAAATCTGGTGACTTGGTGATAATAATATGAAACGTCACACTTGTAATGCAAAAAGAGATTAAATTTGCTCACTAGAGTAAGATATTTTCCCTTGATTATCCACGCCGAAATAAATGTATTTCCAAAATAATATTGCATACTTGTGTATCATATTTCGTTAGTTAGTCTCAGATTCCACCTTTGATCTCTGACTCAACACTGTTTTCTGCAGCTGTTATCTTCGAGTCATTGTATGGATGTTACATAATTAATATAGGGTTTATTTTAGATTAGTTTCCTTTAGTTTTACCCGAAAATTGCCGTTTACAATATTTAAGACCAGATAGTCATACTTGAATCCCTCCTAATAAAAAATTGATATCCACTATATATTTTTCGAAAAATGTATCTACTGTATTAGGCTGTATTTTTATTATAAACAGACCTGAAATTTGTCTTTATTTACTCACTTATCTGGTACAAATAAGCTACTCAAAATCAGTAACAGTCAGTAGTAGTCTATGTATATATTTTTTACTCTACGAATCGCGCTCTTAAAAAAGACAGTATTAACACGATTTCAGTCACTTTCTGTTATCAATAAATCTCACTTCTAAATAGGAATATTGATATATTTATATTGTCCGTATATTGCGCTTCCATATTTTAGTAGTCGTTTCAATATCATTGCTTATTTCCATATTCTTTTTACGTTGATGGGAAACAAATCTAAGCAACATTTATAAATTTTGTTTCTATTAGCTAGTCATCATTAAAATTTTGTAAGCCAAACGTTTGCAGAATTTCTTCATCCTAAAGTCCTCTTTTTATTTTTAAATGCTATTTTCTGTTTGATAACTCAGTCTTCGACACTTACATTTATCCTCGTTTCAGGTGCTTAATGCTGGTCGCATATGTATTTTAGATGTTGAACTACAGGGAGTTAAAAGTATCCATGCAATTCAACCACCGTTGAATGCTCAATATATCCTTATTCGTCCATCTTCAATTAGTGAATTGGAAAAGCGTTTACGTGGCCGAGGAACAGAAACTGAAGAAACTCTATCTAAGCGGCTTGCTCGAGCTCGTGAAGATATTGCATTCTCTGAAACTGAAGAAGGCCAGAAACTATTCACAAAAATTATAATTAATGATGATCTCAACACTGGATATAAAGAGTTGGAAAATTTTGTTCTCCCAGCTGTTAAATGTACTAAATGTGCGTTATAACTACAAATATATTTAATGATCCACTAATATCAATATGCTTAGTACTATTTACTTACTATTTTACAATTTATGTGACAACATCTGTCTTTGTTTTACCTTTACTTCCCCCCCTCAGTTCTCATTGTAGCATAAAGTAGATAACTTACATCTTTAAACTACAAGTTGCACAGCATTTGTTAGTAATATTAAGTTGAGAGTTCTTATATTACTTCTATCTTCCTAAACCTTTCACATTTGAATGTCAATGTATTATGACAAATTAATTTAAATGTACTACAGAAATAGAAGTTTAGTGTTTTGCATCTTTTTTTTTACTATTCAGTGTGTTGTGGATGATTGCCCATTATTCCGCTTAACCTATATTATAATCAGTATAAATTAGTGCAACTGCGCCAGTGAGCAAAGTTGAATAAATATCCACTATGACCGTGCATGTTAGTTAAAACTTATCTGATAAAAATTATTCAAGTCATCGGTGCTTATAATTCTACGAATTTCTGGATTGATACTTGCTGTCACTGGAGTAATTGACTGTCCTGATATATGTAAACTCACATAACAATACTACCTATTCTACCACATAGATGTCCAAGGCAGATGGTTTGGGAATGTGCTACTTGATTAGACGTTTATTCAAAATAATAATTCATTGCGAGGTTGAGAGTAACTAAGCGAATCAGTGAAGTTGTAGACCCACATATTTTAAGGTCAAAATAGGATGTACCACAAATGCTACGTGGACACAAGTCGCAGTGCTGATTCTCGACTCTTGAATTCCCACATAGACAACCGCCAGAATATGTTAATATAAGCCCTAAGTAGGCTAGATAAAGCCATCATTTTGATCACTAAAGTTACTGTGCCTTAAAGTAATGTGAAAAATCGTAGAGAATGTAGATTAGTCCAATGAGATAATGTGACTAACAGTAGTGAGCAATTAAACAGGAAAAAGAAAGAAATAAGTGGACAGAATAATTCGTTTGACACAATTTAGGAAAAAAAGTGGATATTTGTCCTTTATCATGATCGACTTTGAGAAAGATCATCTAACATCTCCAGACATCTTTTTCGGATATATCTCAGACTTTACCTGAAGCATCAGTTGTGGGTTTAATTCGACACTGTCTTTTTATTCTAGGCGTTATTTTGTACTGTTGTATTGAGAGGTCTGATCTCTATGGGTCAGCACATAGTTTTGGTTCTGATGTTTTCATGCAAACAACCAACTTGTCGGCTTTAGACTTCCGGCTATCGATTCGGTGTTTACCATCGTGATACATTCAAGAACATTTATCTTTATCGAGTCATGAAATTCTAGGAAAGAACAATATACTACAATTTAGGTCTTACATTGATCTGCCACAACATGCTAGACGTGGATTTTCAATGAAAAGACAGCCATAGAATCTTTATTTCTGGCAAAAGCCATCGTTTGTTGATCATGGTAACAAGGATCTCTGAGATAGTTTTTTAGAGTATCTGAGGCAGTGCTTTACTGGAAATAGTATTTGCGTCAAATATACATCTTTACATTCAATGAAATTAGTAACAAGGCATTTGCATCTGTTATATTACGACCACCCAGTTTCTTTTACAACTTAGGAGGTTCAGCATAAAACCATACTTTACTTAGATATCAGTTAGTCGTGTGTGGGTCAAAAGCGTTCTTTTAATAGTAAATGAAAGCTTAGTACAGTAGTGACAGTTTGTGTCAGTCGGTAATACACCTGGCGAAAATTGTATGTATCTGAGTAGTCGTGCTTCATATCAAAACTATAAAACAGGAAGAACATAGCTAAAGAGTGTAAATGCTGATGTTAGTGTCATGTTTTTCTCTGTATATGTCCTATTATGTGTGTAAGCTTATGACTACTTTCAAATTGACCAGTTTTAACGTGTGTTAGGGATGTCAGACTTGATATGAGTGATGTTTTTCGACAATAATTTTGTATATTCTATTCTTTTATTGTCTGTCCCACTCATTATGGGATTTTCTTTATTACTGCTCCAAACATTGATGGGGGATTCTGTAAGTCACGCGAGTTAATATGGACAAAAAATTACTAGCGTTCCTATTTTCATAATCTAGCTACTACAAACTCAAAAAATTCATACAAATATTATTGGTTATGAACTCAGTTCATTACTGTGTGGTTGATAATTGGTAAGTCGATGCATATTACATCAGTGAAAGAAGCTAACTTTGTCGTTTTAATCATGGAAGCTTGTGGAAATTCGTTATTGCCAGAAAAGTAATTACAATCAATTATTCGCAGAATCTTCAAATACTTTCTGTGAATACTAGTTAATAAGCTAACCAATATATACAAATAGAAAATTATAGGCAATTCTATGGTCATTAATAATAACTACAATATATTTGTGGTGTTGTTTCTAGTACCGCTTAAGTCAACATGTTTTGTTATGGCACTTGTTACAGTGACTAAATTTTGGTTGAATTGAAAGGCATTAAATGTTTCATTCATCAATTATTTGAAACAAATGCGAACTTTTAATCCTTTTATGTTCTGGTTGACCGTTGCACTGAACTCTATAGCTATCAATATCAAGGTTGAACTTGGTAGTTTCAAATAAATTGAGCATGGAGTAGAGAGTTAGTATTTACCCTGAAGAAGTGGCTTACACTAAGTCACGAAACGTCAAAAATACAATATTTCTACTCATTGGGATATAACAAATGCTTATTATGCTCTGAACTCTGTTTTATCACTATCCTTTGATATTTTCATCTTCTGTAATACAGTTTTGTGTTGTATGGACTTTAAGTTGATTTTTAGTTAATGACGAACAGAGCGAAGTAATTTTTCTTGTCAATTATCTCTACACCAATATATATATATATATATGTTTTACAATAAAAATATACCAACCAGGCAGTGATGTATTAAGTAATATTATCAATTAAAGTGTTTACGGAAATAATTATAAATGGTTAAAGAAACAATTAAAAGACGTCCAGAATGAAACTCCTTAGCAATGCGCATCTACAACCCCGCCACAGAAAATCGCACTCAATTTTTGCGGTTTCACAGGAATGTATAACCTCTAGATGACAGGCTAAATCTATTGGTGTACAAGTGTAATTTCAGTCGGCCCACAATATTGCGCGTTCATCTTCCATTGTCTTCGGTTGGTACTTTCCTCACACCCAAAACGGTTGGATCCCACTGGTTGGAAATGAATAAAACTCCGGAAACTTCTCATACTAGGCCAAAACCGCTGTTCGGTACTTTCAGGTCTTCAATGATCGTCTGACTTATATCGATTTGCGATTTCAATAGAACTAACTGTTCTTCATAACCACATACTGACTATTTTTATATTGTTATTGTTTTAACATTTCATTTTCTTTAATAAGAAGTAATTTCAATTTATGCATTCCTTATATTCGTGAAACTGTTCCTAATGAGTAGAAAAATTAGATTTCCTGGTGTTTCGTCACTCAATACAAGCCATTTCTTCAGAGAATAAATAAACAAATTAAATTAACACATGTTTAAATAGTACGAAGGTGCAAAGCAATAATATTAGTTACGATCAGTCAAAAACAGGTCTGACCAAGTCAATGTCATGTCGTTCCGGTTAAGGTGATTTATATGAGGCATATTCGTTTATTTGTGTATGTGTGGGGTAAATGATGAAAACATGTGATATTTTTGGTGAGAAAGAATAGAGTTAAGTTTGTATGTGTGATAATAGTATGAGAAGTGAATAGAAACAGACATGGCTCGGAAAGATAGTTCTAGTCGGATGGATAATGAGACCTTCCCATAGAAGGCAGTAGGATTAAGCAATATAGGAAAAGCTTCAGCTACTTGCCTTTTTTGGAGTTGGGAAAGCCTTTTTGTATTATTTTGATGTTTTTAATATCGATTTGGTGGTTTTTGAAAATAGCACAAACTGCTATTGTCGATTTAATTTGGAGTCTTGCCAGTTTTACGGGATTATTACGCGGTTTCTTTATGTACCTAATTTGTAGACAAAATTCTGTGTTGACATAAAGGGGATTTTCCGCTTTATGTGGACTAAACTATTTTGAAGGCTGTTCGTTGTTTTGTATTAGACTTTAATTCTGTGTTGTTTTAAGACTTTGAAGTTCTGTTATACCGTGGTGGTGCGGTAAAACTTCATTATCAATCCATAGTATTTCATTCGAATCATTATTTAGCAGTAATATGTCTCATTTTATCGCACTTTTAATAATTTTCGTAGAAAAATCATTAAGTTGTAAGATGTTATATTCTTTCGTTCTTTTCGTTTATCCTCGTCAGATGTAACGATCGTTTTGGCTGTTCTAAAGAGATTTAGGGATAGACAGATTTTTGCATTGAATAGATGTGTTGAATCGAAGTCGATATAACAATTTGAGTGTGTTGGTTTTCGATAGATGGTTAGATTTAGAGCTCCATCTAGATTTTTTTTTAACTAAGCAATCTAAAAACGGTAGCTCACCTTATTCATTTTTATCCTCGTTCGTAAATTTGATGTGAGATGAGAGTTCATCAATCAGTATAGCTGTAACAGTGTTCAACATATGCCAAGTTTTAGTTCTATTAGAGAACGTAGGAAGTCTTATTAGCGGAGCAGATTCTTAGTGACTAAAGTACTGACATTTTAACCAACAAGTTTATATATAAGTATGAGGATTTGTGGAGAATTTAGTATTTTCACTGTTCGGATCACGATCTGATTTAAGTTGGACCACCACTGAAAACCTGGAAGCAGTGGACGGCCGTTTCGTTTTAGTATGAGAGTCTTCAGCAGTGCGTATCCACGATCAGTAGTCTAGGGTTTGAGCGTTCTCTCTCTGGATCGATATTCCTGCGTTCGAATCTCGCGTGCGCGGTTGCAGATGTGTCATTTTTGACGAGTCTCACACTAGGACGAAACGACCATGCAGTGCTTCCAGGTTTTCAATGATGAGTTGGCTTAGATTGGTTCGTGATTTCAACTGTGAAAGTTAAGAAGATAACATAAGAAAAGCGAATATAATACTGTTGATACAATTTTCAAGTTACAGCATCTATAACGATAGTTTATAACAACCAGTTCATATCTTCCTTAAATCAGGTTCATATCGATCCATAATTTGTATATCTCCTTCAATGGTCAGAATTTATATGATGTTGGCAAGTTTACCAGGAATCGAATACAGAAGTATATTCTCTTAGGAATATGGAAATGATTAATTTTCATTTAGAATTACTGAATGGTATAATTATTCAAATTAGATAAATGACATTTTCATATTGTGTAAAACTAGAATGGTTACATAATATCAGCGCACTTACAAAGAATAATTGAGTTTCTATATAATGTGTGTGAATGGCTTGTAAACTATAATATTGATTTTATTATGCTTTATTTATTACTCTTTTCATGTTTTTTTTTTCTTTTCAGGTTTATAATATATTACCAAGGCGTCGGATTCGATCGCTTCTACCATTCTTGTTAATCTTGTTCATGGTTTTAATGTTTCTTAGACAACTTTCAATTTTTTTTCAATCTGACATGGTACCGATTTCAATCAATTTTGTAAGTTTGTCTAAAGAATATGTATGTACATATATACTAGATTCATCTTATATTTCATATATAGTTTAAGATTTGAATAAATCTCGAATTTAGTTTAAAGAGTTTTATGGTTGAATGTTTATCACCAGACTTGAAGATTACCATTTTGATCCGCGATTGGGTATTTATTTATTTATTATTTATTTGAACACATAAATGTTGGTACAACAGGACACCAACTATATATGCGCCACACATGTGTGGGCTGTGATACTGCTCGGATGCCCAAACCGAAGCAGGTGGTTTTCTTAGGGGGCCACTTCCCGAGCCTTCGACCTGAAGGTCTGATCCACAAGGCAGTGGAGCATCGTGAGGAGATGCAGTCCCATGATAGCCGGTGACCAACTATTGGTTCATACGCCATTTGTTCCTTCAGGATACTGGAGCTAGCCCATGTGCACCATTGGTTTGGAGTCCAAATTAAAGCGCCGGACATTTGCTTTTCGTCCTCTCATTTTCGCAAGCAACACTCCCGCTGCGAGAAGGCAGTGAGTAGGACGTCCCTGGCAGATGCTGTATACACGTGGCCGTGTGAGGGCATTTCGAGAGGGAGGGAGGGCCCACCCCACTCTCAACCGTACCAGGGTATTTGGAAGCTATTGATGATGAGTCTCATACGGGGGCGAAACGGCTGTTCAGTACTCCCTGGTTTTCCTTGTTATCCCAAATTGTAATCGATGTAATAGTCTCTCCAGTTTTTTTCTTTTCATATCGAATTAGTTGTGTTCATTAATCTAAACATTTAATTCCTAATAACTTATTCGTAAATTTCTAATGTTGTCTTAAATGTTTTTGAAATTTTGGGTATTAAAATTGGTTTTTTTTCATGCACAACATGACTAAAACCTTACCTTGATAGTAAATGTTAACTGCAGCTTATTTCATTTCCAATGATACTATCTGGTTATCTAAACTAGAGTAAATGATTGGGGGGGGGGTTCGTAGCTGAGACATTGTGGTTGAGAGTCGAACGCTCCAATCACTAAAGACTCTAGGCAATTATTAATATGATTTACTTATCATTTATTTATTTAATGCACATGAAATGTGGTTTTGCTGAGCAACAATAATGTATACGCCACACAAATACAGAGATAGGATTGTGGAGAAATAACAATACGACGGGCATTGCAATAAAAATAGTAACCAATGATTAGTTAAAAACGTAAGCAAGATGGATTTTCTTTTCAGTTTGAGGGGTTTCTTTCAATTTTATAAAGAATGCAAAAAAATAACAGCAGAATCTCTACTGACTTCTATACTGATGTATCTGCTAAAGCCTCAAGCCATTGTGCTCTACTATCTCTGGGACTCTAATCAAGAAGTCTCTGTGGTCCGACAGATATCGGTCCTATGCTGCTTTCTTCCATACCATATTCCTATATCATAAATTGACCATCTCTCAACTTTTTCCAACCCTGGTAAATAATGGCAGATATCAAAGCTTCTGAGATGGTATTTTTTAAACATTTATAAGCCACATATGACGGCGTTTCAAGACTAACATTAATTAAATTATTATCACTTTGACCGAACATATTGCATTATCTAATTGTATGTCTAGAATCTACCGGTATTGGTCTCTTAGCATAGCATTGATGAGCAATACAGGTCTTAACCTCGTGATTGACTGTAGATCAGTTAGTGTCTCAGCACTTATTCTCACTTCAATCAAGACGATTTTATTTTGTGCTGTGAATTTAATTTTATATCCCAATGTATGATCATTCTTAGCATGTTCACCAAGTTTCTTCATTTGAGCAAAGAGTGATCATATGGAAAACTTTTTACTGGGAATAGGTGCGATGCGATGAGTTAAACCGTGTCAAATTTGAGGCAATATCATTGTTAGGATTCGATGATTATTACACTACAATTGAGTTAATTTAGATTGACAAAATATGAGCTAAATAATTTAGCGATACCATGTTCATTATAAGACTCAAAATGTTAGATTTGATCTCGTGAGTAGGATTGTAAGTGGGTGCAAATTAAGGCGCCATAGTTAATGTTCCATTCATTCTGTTCAGTTTTCAATCAATCTTCTCACCTGAATATCATATCATAGAAAAAGCTAACTTCAAATAAATTTGTTGTTTTGTCTATAAAGCGTTGTGCAAACAGTTACGTTACACCGCTAGTTTTTTTTATTGAAATCGTAAACCGATTAATGTTAGACCACCATTGAAAACCTGAAAGCACTAGACGGCCGTTTCGTCCTATTGTGGGACTCTTCAGCAGTGCTCACCCACGATCCCACTCGCGGGGTTCGAATCCAAGGTCTTCAGTCTAGCGCGCGAACGCTTAACCTATCGGATAACTAGACCGGCATCCAATGGTGTTAATGTCTAACCTCAACCAGTCAACGTAATTGCGCGACCATCTTCCATTGTACTGAGGTAGACACCTGTTTCTACCAGACACGGATTAGCTCCACTGGTCACGGCTTCTCACCACAACTCCGAGAATTTTCTCACGAAGCTAGTCACTAGTAAGCACATGGTAATTATCAGTATAGAGGTTGTGGAGATTGCCAAATTTTTGATTGAGATCATGAACCGATTGATGTTAGACCACCATTGAAAACCTGGAAGTACTGGAAGGCCGTTTCGTCCTATTATGGGACTCCTCAACAGTGCGCATCCACGATCCCGCTCGCAGGATTCGAACCCCCATATATACATCTTTTTTTGTTCATATGGATTTCATTTTTAATCAATTTATTTCCAAATTTTTTGCTGACTTTTCTTTGGCTTTTTCTATTGAGCATCACGGCAACATCGAAGTTTTCCTTTCATCTGTTTCATTTGATTCTTCCGTAGTACAGATCAAAGACATATGCCCAGTAAAGTGTTCAATTTCCTTTAGTTTAAGATAGTTAAGTATTAATAATATATTGTGAAAATAAAGTAATTGCATAATTCATACCATTTCACTGGCATGATCAATTTGGTATAGATAGTAATATTAAATGTCAGAATATCAGAAGTAATAACTGCTATGATAGGTCAATCTGGTTTACCATAATACATATGACAGGTTAATTTATGATATACCGTTCGTCTTAGGTATTATTCAAATTAGTTAAGGTTACCAGAGACAGTATTAGTGTAAAGTAACAACACGTAGGGAGGTTTGCTTAGTGAGCCCAGTAATAAAAACAACTAAACATTTAAAGTTCCTATAATCTAACTTGTGAAACGGGATATATTTACAGGTATAAGGATATTCATAGGGTTTTCAGCGGGGAAGTAAGCATCTATGTAGCGAACAAAGGATGGGAGTGATTTTATTTCACGAATAGACTGGTAAAATATTTCAGTCTGAAAATGTTTCCGTCAAAGTAATTCATATGGAGAGAATATTTAGAATGTAATTGTTTCACTAATGACAAAGAATTATAGATGCTGTAACTAAGAGTTTCTGCATATTACATTGCTTTATTGGATGTAAAAAATGGTTTATTAAGTATTTTTAAGTAAAAGATTAGATTAAGTTGGACTTTTCTCTTCCATAAAGGGTTCAGTCCAAGTTTATTACAGGTGAACCTAATAAGTTAAAGTGTAATCATTCCCAAGAATGCAAAGTGTAAATCGTCTCTGAACATATTCCAGCCTTAATTTATCCTTTATGTAAACACCGGGAATAAAAGTGTAATATTCGAAGAGTGGTTGAACACGTACTTTGTACAATAAATGCGTTACTTGTTGTTGTAGGGGTTATGAATTAAGCAACATAGAAGAATGAGGCGTGGATTTCTGTTCCGAGATCTATTCTGAGAAGGATAAATGATAGGGATATCTAAGTCGTAAATCCAATATTGTATGTAACTTAACATCTTACTATTTGTGATGTATCCATTCACATTTAATCGTCTTAAGCCTTAAGTGCCATTCTGAACACTGAGTTCGTTTATCTTTTCAGAGGAAAACTCCATGGAAAAGATATTATTATTATTATTATTATGTAATTTTTTTATCTGAATTTCTCGATATTAATTTCTATTGTCTAGAATCAATCTGGTCTAGATTGGAATATTCAATTGGATAATATCAAATCAACTTCAGATGATTCGACATTAAATTTGAGTTATCGAGTACATGGATTCTATTATGCATGGTATGATGCTCCACAAAAATTATCAAATCAAAATTCATTGAATAATAATGATAATAACTGGTCACATTGGAATCATCAACGCTTGAAACATTGGAATGCTAAAGTTGCTATTGGTTATTCAACGGAACCTCATTATCCACCATATTTATTAGCATCATCTTTCTATCCAAAATTAGGTCCATATTCATCAAAAGATTTGAATATTATTCATATTCATATGGAAATGATTAGATTTGCTGGAATCGGTAGGTTTTTTGTAAAATTGATCGATTATATTCCCTATATATATATGCCCCCAAATGCCCTGGTATGGTCGAGAGTGGGGTGGGTCTTTCTCCCCTCTCGAAATGCCCTCACACGGCCACGAGTATACAGCATCTGCCAGGGAAGTCCTACTCACTGCCTTTTCGTGGCGGTGGTGTTGTTTACGAAATTGGGAGGACGAAAAGCGAGTGTTCGGCGCTTTAACCAGACTCCAAACCAGTGGTGCACATGGGCTGGCTCCAGTATCCTGCGGGAACAAATGGCGTATGAACCAATCGTTGGTCACCGGCTATCATGGGATTGCATCTCCTCACGATGCTCCATTGCCTTGTGGGTTAGGCATTTAGGTCAAAGGCTCGGAGTGTTGCTCCCTAAGAAAACCACATGCTTCGGTTTGGACACCCGGGCAGTATCACAGCCCACACACATATCGAATGAGATTTGTGTGGCACATATGTATTTGGTGCCTCCTTGTACCAACGTTTATGTGTTTAAATAAATTTTACATATATATATATATATTATGTTCTATAAACTTGTTATATATATATATATATATATATATATATATATATATATATATATAACAAGTTTGTAGAACATAATATCAGTTTAGACTATTTAAGGAAAGATAGATAGTGGCTAGCAGTAAAATCCAGGACTCATATTTTGTCCTATTTTGGACTCGTTAGCTGGATGTTCACTCCAGGACATGAATCCAGTACCGTTTGCTTCAAACACTATCGCGTTATCCATTTAGCTACTGAGTCTTGATAGCCACTTGATTGTGCAATGGGGTGAAGTTTAAATTCATTTGGTGTTTTTTTTACTTAAATCTTCCCATTGTTATTTAAGACTGCAATTGATCAGTCTTTTATTGGTATATGTGGATGCTGTACGAATTGCCTCGATTTAGCCTTTAGTCACAAGCTTTTTAAGCAAAGATGGATAGGGGCTAGCAGTGGAATCCAGTTTGACACACTTTTCGTCCTATTTTGGTTTCGTCAGCTGGATGTACCTGCAATGGGAAGATACAAGTAAAATAACACAGTGAATTTAGTTTAAACTATGTTCAATATCATAGCCGATTACACATATTTGTAACATATTTGGTATCTTTGGTTTTTGTTGTTAGGTGTTCTGTTAGTAAATATTTTAATAATGAATTCATTATGAAAAAAATGTAAAACAAACCACACACAATAAATGTTATAGAGAATCTACCAGCCAATAAGAAGAAAGATAAACAACTTCAAGGTCAGGGGTCATGGACTACACAGTTAGGGGAATAACCAACCAAATTTCACACCCACAAACCACTTTTTTCGTCAACTATACAGAAATTCTAACAGCTCACTTCTCTTTGAAGTATGTGCTAATGATTTTGTTCAAATGAACAACGACAATTTCACAAGTAGACCGTCGAACTTAAAAGCTACAACTACCAATAGGAATAGACAGACATGGAACATGTAAAACCCAGTGATACAAAAGTTTTATGTGTTTATTTCTTAATAATGTTCAATTCGTAATTATAAATTAGGCTTTTGTTTCGTATCGAATTTTTCGAGGCTAAATAAAAATGTGTTCTATGAAATTGGTGTACAAATTAAGATTCCTGAGAGATGTGTATAACAATTCGAGCGGTTACTATTTTCTTCAAATGATTTGTTCTGTTTATGAAAATAATGGTCTAAATTGTAGATAAATTTATAGGGTTTGGCGTAGTACTTGGTTGTCCGTTATTTCTCAAGTAAACATCCCATTGGCATTAGGATGCATCATGTGAGTTGAAAGATTCAAATAGCCGTTGAGTACAAAAACGTTACCACTAAATCTGAAAATCGATGATTCATTGAATGTTCCATAGTGGCATCGACACCTGAAGTAATAATAGGAAGTGAAGTAGTTGAGCCTGTCGACCGCTTCACTTATCGACCCTTATGGTTTGGTGTGTGACAAAATCTCAGCATGGATACAGAAGGCTCGACTGGCTTTTGCCAACTTGTGTCATTTATGGCGTACGAGAGATATCCGTCTATAAACCAAAGGACGTGTTTACTGCTCAGCAGTTCATACCGTCCAACTTTATGGCTGTGAACCATGGCCTGTAAGTGTAGAGGATATTCGTAGGTTACTAGTATTTGATCATCAGTGTCTTCGAAGCATTGCTCGTATATCCTGGGACCACCGAGCAAGTAATACAGTTGTTAGGAAACGGGTACTAGGTAAGGATGGCAAATCACTTGATGAAGTATTAAAACTTGATCAGTTGAGATGGCAGGGACACGTGTTGCATATGTCCAACCACCGACTGCCCCGACAAGCTATGGTTTATAGTGTAGGAGTAGGTTGGAAGAAAGCTAGGGGCGGCCAGACTAAAACATGTCACAAATCCATGAAGTCACTGACAAGTGGACTAAGCCATGTTGATATGTGTAGACTATCCGGTTGGGATCCACGAGACGACAGCAACCGATGGCTTGAGACCTTGAATGACATGGTACAAATCGTTTGCAATGGTTTGCACAGGTGCACACACTCTTTGTGTTCTCCCAAACTCTAATCTTCTGAATTCTTCATGTCCCTTTCTTATTTTTCCTCTTTCCAAATTTATTTCACTGGATTATACTCCTTGAATAACAAATCCTAATGTTTCCGATCACTGCTCATACTCTTACCGCCTCTACCACTATGGGATTTGAATTGATAGCTGTATCTCTGTGCTAATGTGGTATGGCAACTTAGACTTATGTACGTACGTACGAAGTCCTACATTGTTACTGACTGACTCACCATAGTATAAAATGAAACATAATTTAACTGTTTTTTTGGCATTAGAAAACTTCGCATTTTCTCACACCTAATAAAATACACACAAATACGTTGATGTTTTACAAAGAATCACTTTTGACCTGAATAATATGACATTAATATATATTTAGACTCATTGTGATTAAGCCGATGATATTCTACTTTGTTTCTGATGTATTAATTAGACTTGTATTGGTTCAATTTGGTTATTTATTATGTGAAGAAGAAACGTACACTAAACTGCAAAAGTATTAGAAGTTTAATCTACTATTTGTTGGGACATCATAAACATATCAGGATTTTCATGATGACTATGATATCTATGTAGATGTGATGACGTTGAATAATTCGACCAATATGAAATCGTATAACTTAGTTTTACTTTTGAGTTGTATAAAGAAGACATCATTACTTTTAATAGGTAAGAGTATGAACAACTTAATTAATTAAAGTTAGATTAAATGAACTCATTCACCAGGTACATAGGTATGAACCATACTGTAAGTGTGAGAGTTGATGATACTACCTGATTACCAAAACCGAAGTCGATGGAGTTGGGGTTTATACGTAGAACTTGGAAGCCGAAAACTGAATACCTAAACTACCACTTTAGCAGCGCATGAATTTATCTTAGTCGTTGTCAAATTTGTCATGCTTATTCATACCCATTATTTATTGTGAGAACCTTGGCGTAAGATAACAAATTGTGGTTAAACAACTGATATTAGTCTGATGACTCCCTGACTTAGTGTTTATGTGTCTAAGGACTTAATAGCGAGTTCTGGTAGAATTATGAATATAAAGATAAAAAATATCACTAAACCCAACTTAGACTCAATGTAGCTCAATAAGTTACTGTGACCCTGTTCGACTTAATTGTTCAGTAATCTCTAGGAGAAAAGTTCCAGTTATTAAAGATTGATTATTGTTTAATTCGCCACAATTTGCAGAAATATAGTAAGTTTCAATCAACGAAAGCAAAAGTAAATAAGTAAGGTTGACGACAGTAACAGCATGAGAAAGTCAAAGTAAACGTTATTTCCAACATATACTTTGTGTGGTGTGTTCTGTCTTTGGTGCCCAGTTGTACTTATTATTATTAATTTAAACACATAAACATTGGTACAAAGAGGAATCAAAATATATATGTGCCACATATTATTGAATTCGTGTGTGGAATGGGATACTGCCTGGGTGCCTAAAACGAAGAGGGTGATCTTTTTATTGAGTTACTTCACAAGCTTTTGACCTAGAAGTCTAATCCACCAGGAGTGTAGCAATGTTAGGAGATGCGATCCTATGGTAGCTAGTGACAAAGAATACGTTTATACACTATTCGTTCCTTCAGGATCCTGGAGCTGATGTGCATTGATACTTCGGAATCAGGATTTTCTAACTCATCCAGGTGCATCCTCCGTAGCTCACAAACTCAGTTTGAGCACCGAAAATTCTATCTTCATCCTATCAATTTCGTAAACTACACCCCGCCACGAGAAGGCATTGAGTAGGACTTCACTGTCAGTGGCTGTATACACGTGGCCATATTGGAGGATTTCGAACTCTCCCGATCTTCGGCCGTTCCAGAGCATTTGGGGGGCTAGACTGACAACTGTCTACCGGAACTCAATCGTACTAGACTTAATGTACGTTAAATAAATAAATCATTTAGAAGAATGTTGATGATCAATGAATGCTATTATTATTGTTATCTGCCTAGCTGTGGCCAATTTTTTTCACCATATCATCTTAAAACACCAACGATATGTTTCTCTGTGAATCTCGAACATGTGGTCTGTTATCCCTTACTTGAATCCATAGTTAAATAGCTAGTTCTAATCTTTCTTCATCTTACTTCTACGCTAGTCGCTATCTCACGTTAATGTAGGCCCAAGCACTGCATTATATAGTAGCTTTCTTAATCACCTCAGTTACTGAAATAACAGTCATATTGCTAAATTTACCACTTTTTTAGTCAGTAATTTATGCCTAACTTTAGCATTGGTCGCTTACTGGTTCATAAACAATTGTAATGTGTGTTACTATATTAAACCCACATTACTTATTCTAGCTTCTGGACAGGCCAATATACTCTTTCTTCTCAAGCCCCATTTTGACCTTATTATTTATTCACTTATCGATCTTGACTGTTTTTATATAAGCGTATGTGTGTACACTTCTTATCCTGTTCATCACATGTCTGCAACTTATTTTTATCTGGCTATTTTCGATTCACGCTTGGTTAAATGGGGTTGGCTAACTTGCCTTCTCCAAACTAGAGTCAGATATAGGGGCCACTAAACAATACTTTAGGGGTAGGGAGAGTTGCACCCTAAGCATTCTTCGATTATCACTTGGCTTCTTCAAATGACTCTACTTTTCTATCACCAATAATACTGTGAATGTCATTATTACTCTGGGATTTGGATTGACAATTTTGTCTCATTGTCGTAATCGGGATGTGGCAACTTGAACTGATGCACAGATCTGGTAGGTCCTGCCCCCAAATGCCCTGGTACGGCCGAGAGTGGGGAGAGTCCGCTCCCTCTCTCTCCAAATGCTCCCACATGGCCACGCGTATATAGCCTCTGCCAGAGAAGTCATACTCACTGCTTTCTCTCACCAGGGTGTTGTTCACGAAATTGAGAGGACGATGAGCGAACGTCCGGCGCTTTAACCGGGTTGGTGGACATGGAGAGTCCACCTAGAGGAGTTGGAAAACCCTAATTCCAAACCAGTGGTGCACATGGGCTGGCCCCAGTATCCTGAAGGAACAAATGGCGTATGAACTAATCGTTGGTCACCGGCTACCATGTGACTGCATCTCCTTAAGATGCTCCACTGCCTTGTGGATCAGACCTTCAGGTCAAAGGCTCGTGTGTGGCTCCCTAAGAAAACCACCTGTTTCGGTTTGTGCACCCGGGCAGTATCACAGCCCTCACACATATCGAATGAGATTTGTGTGGCGCATATGTATTTGGTGCCTCCTTGTACCTATATCTATGTGTTAAAATAAAATAAAATAAATGTTACTAACTGACTTAGATTAATTAAATGATTCTTTAATCTATTGATATAGTTAAGTGCTGTCTTTTTTAAGAGAACTGAAATAGATTATTGTATATCTTATCATATGACAGCCTAAAATTCATATCAGTCAAGAAAATATAATTCACTTTATTTCTTAATTTCACCTCACATTCTGAACAAATGATTTTTATTGATTATATGCGCCACACATTACTGACTTCGTTTGTTGGATGGGATAGTGTCTGGCTACGGGTCATTTCACAAGCCTTTAATATAGATGTGTAATCCACGAGGAAGTGGAGCAATGTTAGGAGATGTGTACTGTCAGTTTATTTTAATATTCGTTAGTTTCATCTTCTGTTCAACAGGTATTCAGTATGACTTAAGCCGGTTTATTGTTGAATGATCATATGTTATGTCAGTCAGTTATTTAATCAAGAGTCTTATAGATGATAATAATATTGGTAAATATTTTCTTTATTCCATAATTGCCGTTTAATGGAACCAACTTTGTCTTTAAAACAAAATGATTAAGTTTTAAATTGTCAATACTACACTATACGAATATTTCTGGTATACTGGTATATGTGTGTGTGTATGTGTGTAACTCCAAATGCAATCACACATATTCATGACGAACTTGAAATGGATCACGTTTGCATCGAAATTTGATCTCTTTAAATTGTTTTTGTAAATGTGGTTATGTAATTCAAACTTGTACGAGATGAAACAATTACTTGTCGTTGTACGAATATTAGTTAATAAATAATAGATAACTACTTAAAGGAATAGCAAGTGACTATCAGGACTCAGTAGCTGAGTGGATAACGCGATGGTGTTTGAAGCGAATGGTACGGAGTCCGAGTTCCAGACTAGACATCAACTCTGAGATGCAGGTATATCCAGCTGACGATTCCCGAATAGGACGAAACGCACGTCCTGGATTCTACTGCTAGCCGCTATCCATTATTGTTTAAAAAAAGCTTGTGAATTAAGGCAATATCGAGACATACGCACAGTATGTACATATTCCAATAACAGACTGATCAATTGCAGTCTTAAAACTCAATGGGAAGATACAAGCAAAACAATACCAAGTGAATTTAAATTCACTTCATTGCACAAGCAAGTGGCTATCTGGACTCAGTAGCTTACTGGATAACGCGATGGCGTTTGAAGCGAATGGTACTGAGTTCGAGTCTCAGAGTGAACATCAACTCTGAGATGCAGGTATATCCAGCTGACGAGCCCCAAATAGGACGAAACGCGCTTCTTGGATTCTACTGCTATCCACTATCCATCATTATTTAAGGGAATAAGTTTTCCTGATGTTGATATTCAGGACCTCAATTTATCATTCTTGATTGACACATATATATTCTGTAGAGATTACTTTTAAGAAAGTTGATTGGTTGCCAGTACTAGAATTTAGGACATGCGTTTTGTTTTATTTGAGACTCTCGTCGGCTGGATTCAATCACATTTCAGTGTTTATGTTTATTGAAGGACTCAAACACACGTTTGATATTTGAAGTATTATGTACTATGTTTAAGTCTTGATATGAGCACAACATAGATCTAAATTTATCTAGTTAACGAATCTATAACAGGACCAAACGGGAATTCTGGATTCTACAGCTAGTCAGAATCTTATTTTAGCAAATATCTGTTTCATTTTGTAGATGTTACTTTACTATCATTGTCCAATGAAATAATATTTATGTTTTCTCTCTTTTCAGGTGTCTTAGTCGTGTCATGGTATCCAAAGGGTATGTCTGATGATAATGGAAAACCTGTGGATGATATAATATTCCCACTATTAAACATAGCTAATAAATATGGTATAAAAGTATGTTACTAATTTTTAGAGATAACTAATTATATTGAACACAACCAGTTAATTTTTCTAAGAAATTTAAAAAAAATCCTAGTCTACCTTCATTACAGTAGAAGTTCTATTGATTTATTAGATGGTTGAAGATGATCAATAAAAAATTATAGACCCAGGTTTCATGTCATTTGGCACTTATCAGTAAGGTATACCTGTAACCTTAAGTGAATTGCTGATTCATGGTGGATTAAATCCCATATCGCTCAGCTTTAGTCGAAAATGTTACCACTGATCTATACGGTCAGTGACCGAACTTCTTTAGGATTCAGATATATTCGTAGTTGATTGATCATTAAGTAGTGCCTGACGTATGTTATTGTAGTCTTGACCGATAAAGTTCTTTTGATTGTTTCCTAAGTTATATAAAATTGTTATCAGCATTCAGTATTTTGACTTATGATATATTTCAATCGGATAAGGTAAGTAGACAGGACTAATGGGGTTACTGGTTGTTATCATGGTTCGAACCATTTTCTTGTAAACAATAAGACTTCTTTTTTTGTTAGTTTTGTGCATTAATCAACTAATCCCACTATTTAGCACCAACACTTAACTTTGGTTTTAACGTTTTCTTTTTATTATCGAAACAATCATTATAGAAGATCTTTATTTTGATGTTCTAGAAACACAAATATGGTCTGAAAACTTATTCACTATCAATGGGCGATAATGATGTGAAAAACTTTGAATAAACTTGCTTCACATATTCCTGTAGCTTTGAAAATGTATTACACTTATTTGTTTGAATTGTTGAGAGGTCCCATACTAGAATGAAACGACCATCCAGTGCTTCCAGATTTTCAATAGCGGTCTAGCTTAGATTGACTTGTGAATTCAACTGTTAGAGTTTTACATAATTGTTTGTAGGTTTTCAATTCGACAATTCGTTTAACCTGTTGACGTTTTTTTAAAAATAATAACAATAAGAATTTGGCGGAGTTTTGTTCTCTGAGCTGGATGGTTTGGTTGTGGAGCTTTCGTCGTTCTTCTGAACGACATCATCAGCACAAACTTCAGGTAGAAGTGAAGTGTTTGAATTTCACAGCTTGTTCTGTGCACCTCGATGTTGATTGGTTCTTATTGACCTTAAATTTGTCATTGTTTACGTCTTTGTTTTGGTTGTGTCTCCCATTGGTTTGATTTTTGTTCCTATATTTGTGCATGATTTTTCTGATTTGTTGATAAATTGGATTGATTTCAATATGCTTGTTGATTGCTGATTGACCTGAGTGCCAGGCTTCTAAAACTTCTCTAGTGTTTTTGGGATTTCCTCTGTCCAAGATTTCCACATTTTCCCAATCGAATGTGTGTCCGTAGTTATCCACGTGTATTGATATAAGTGAAGAGATATCATGGCGTTTGACTGCTAATTAATGTTCGTGTAAGCGCAGGTGAAGGGGGCGTCCGCTTTGTCCGATGCAGTGTTTTTCGCAGTTGGCACAATTTATTTTGTAGATGGTGTTTGATTTGTTTTCCTTTGTTATTTCATCCTTTGGTTTGCATAGGATTGATTGTAGTGATTTTGTCGGTTTGTGTGTCACACCTATCCCGAAGGTTTTCAGCAGTCTCGTTGCGGTTTCTGATATTCCTTGTATGTATGATAGGGTGATCCTTTTGTTGATTTATCTGCTTAACTTGGGTTCTGATGCTGCGTGCGGTTGGTATTTTTTGATGAAGTTGATTGGGTAGCCGTTCTTTTGGAGTACGTCCTTCAGGTATTTCTCTTCATTTTTTCGTGTTGCCAGTGTACTGCAGTGTCCTCGACCTCTTGAACAAAGTGTGTACGCAGTTGATTTTGTGAGCTCTTGGGTTGTTGCTATTGTAGTTGAGGATTTGATCTGTATGGGTCGGTTTCCTATATACTTGAGTTTCCAGTTTTCCTGTGTCGGTTCTAGTGATCAATATATCCAAGAATGATAGTTTGTTGTTTGACTCCTGTTCCATCGTGAACTTGATGTAATCGATAACGTTGTTGATCAGTTTATAAGTATTTTCCAGCTCATTCTTTTTGAGGATGACGAAAGTATCGTCTACATAGCGAATCATCATATTTTGCAGGATTATTCCTTTGTTCATTCCAAAGATTTTGTCCATTCTTTCAAAAGAATAAGAATCTATAATGGTCAATTAGTCATATACAGTGTAGAATCTATAGTTTATGTGCAACAGTTCAAGTTACTAAATAGTGTTGACATAGTAGTCTAAGAATTTATTTCAAAACAAATCTTAAATAAGTAAATGTAGTAAAAGCGTAGTGAAGAGAACACTTAAGTGGGAAAGACCAATTTAATTTTTACTGAACAATTACATAGTTGTTTATTAAAATATGAAGATCATACTTCAAATACATTATTTGCACATCTTTGTATATTCTGTTATAAGCTTCATTGTTCCTTCATTCTTGTTGTCATCTTAATTGATTTCAGTTTCCTTTCTCTCTTTTGTTCATTTCAATTTTCTCAACCTTCTGCTCACAGACATTCCACTTCCAACTGATGTTACATACTACGTATATCTGCGAAAATACGTAGGATACACCACAATAGATATTAGTAGCAGTAGAAAACATTAAGTATAAATGACATAATTCGTTAAAGAAAGAATGAATTCATGTAAACAATCTTATAAAATTTTAAAACTTAAGATCTAATGTAAGACAAGGAGTGAATGTACTTGCACCATTTCGATCGATTTTGAACTCCATCTTTAGAAGTCTCCAATCAATAACGAGTAATTGTAGAGCGTAAAAAACGTTTGTATAACATTACAATCGACTAATTTGTCTATCTTTTTGTTAGAGTTTGGTTCCCTGAGTTGGATGGTTTGGTCGTAGAACTTTCATTTACGACCAAACCATTCAGATCAGAGAACGAAACTCCATCGAAAATCATCCACATAAGTTATAAATCTTCTCCATCATCTCAATTTTTCTATCTTTAAGTGATGATGTTGATTATTTGTAGATGAGAATCCAGATTGATCTTTCCATCTTGTTTCTAACTTGTTTGCTGAAACTTATATGAACACCAGATTCAAATGCATTCAATTGATGAGTCTTAAATAGGATGAAACGAATAATTTTAAATTCGATAGCAAACTATCAATTACTGTTGTTTTCACGTTATCTAAATTTTAATTGTATCGTATTATTATTATTATTATTCTAACACGATTAAATTATGAACCGATTGATGTTAGACCACCTTTGGAAATCTGGAAGCACTGGATGGCCGTTTCGTTCTATTGTGGGACTATTCAGCAGTGCGCATCCACGATCCCGCTCACGGGATTCGAACCCAGGGCCTTTGGTATCGCGCGCGAACGCTTAACCTACTGGACCACTGAGCTAGCCGGCATCCAATGGTGATAGTGTCTAACATCAACCAATCCAAAATCCCTATACTAACGATTCAATTAATTACAAAATAATAAATATAGAATTTTAATAAGAACAAACATCATCAATGGGCGTTACTATTCGATTCATTATATTCAATCACAAAACTTTTGTTCATTATTATTTTTGTTTTGTTCTGTTCTATTCTTATCAAAATGAAAATAAACAATCATTGATAATTGAAATTATATGAACGACTATTAAACGGGCGCGCACGCGCGCACGTTCGTGTGTGCGTGCGTGCGCAAAACACACATACACTCTCAACATTGAATAAATGACAATAATGTTTGAATGATGAATTTAGGGAAGAATATGTCAATGAAACATTTGATTCTTTTTATTTTCATTATAAATCTCATCTTTATAAAAAAATACAATAATAAATCGATAAATGTGTATTTAGTAACTATGGTAACATAAATTAATGAGTTACCTATACTAATACAATGTCAATCTATATACGAATTTATTCATTTAAAAAAGAGGAAAAAGATAATGATAATTAGATTAAATGAAATATACAATAAAACGAGAGATGAGAAATAAAATAATAATAATAATATTATTATTATTTAAAAAAATAGTCTCTTTGATAGATATCGATAATGTAATGAGAAGACGTAGATTATCAAAGTTACTTACTTACTTACGCCAGTTACTTCTCGTGAAGGAGCGCACGCCACCCACCACTACTCTCCATCCAACTCTGTCCTGAGTAATCCATTCCAGTTCTTTCCGGTTGTTATTCATCCTTTTCATAACTGCTTCTATTTCTCGACATAAAGTGTTCTTTGGCCTTATTCTTTTCCACTTCTCTTCAGGATTTCAAATTAGGGCTTGCCTCGTGATGCAGTTTGGTGATTTGCGTAATGTATGTCCTATTCATTTCCATAATCTTTTCCTAATTTCTTCTTCAGCTGCAAGCTGGTTTGTTCTTTCTTAGAGAAGTCTGTCGCTGATGGTATCCGGCCAATGGATGTTGAGTATCTTGCGTAGACAACTATTTATAAATACTTGTACCTTCTTAGTGATGGTTGTTGTAGTTCTGCAAGTTTCAGCTCCGTACAGTAGAAGTAGCTGTGTTGACGTTCGTATTGAAGATTGTGACTTTGATATTGATTGACAGTTGTTTTAATTTCCATATGTTCTTCAATTGTAGGAATGCAAGCCTTGCAGGTTATCAGAGTTATGTGATAATATATTTGCACAATACATTTCGAACAATCAGATCACACATAATGTACTTGTTAAGAAATTTTGTATATGAAAATTAAAAAAAGGTCAACTAGACAGGTTAATGGTAAGTCGTAACAAGAAAATATTATTATCAGAATGGGTTTTGTGGAGATTTTTAAAAATTTCACAAGTTGAAATCATGAGTCAATTGAAGCTAGACCACTATGGAAAACCTGGAAGCACTGGACGGCCGTTTCGTCCTAGTATGGGACTCCTTAGCAGTGCGCATCCACGACCCCGCACCTAGCTTCAATTGACTCATGATTTCAACTTGTGAAAGAAAATAAAAATATGAAAGTACACAAAAACAATATGATTACCA